ATCTCGGTCACGTTTCTTCATCATCAGCGAGTGAGATAATGTGTTGAGCGCACAAAAACTAGAAGCAGTTTCCCACTTTTAAGAAAAAAAGAATAGTAATTTCCTTGATTATCCCTGACAAAAATAATTAATTTCCATGAAATTTAATGAACGCAAAACCGGTTTGTGCTGTGCTTCTATATTAAAAAATATTAAATTACAATATGTTCAAATAAAACATATTAAAATGGTTTTAGCTTGAATATAAGTTTGCATAATAACCACTGAGAAAACAACAATGGATGATTTACCTCAGATTTTTTTATTATTAAAGGTGCAGTAGGTGATCTGCCAAAATGCTAATCGGTTAGCATATTAGCTTTGAACGGCAGGGAGGGACTGTGTTTCAAAGCCACGCTTCTTGAAATCACGAACGCACCCACAGCAGCAAAACAGCGGACAATCCAGTTCATTCACCAGTTAGAAGTGTATGTAGTGGCTGGCCCGGCGGCGTGCAAGAATTTAACTTATTACTAAGCCACACATGCTACTTCAAAGCCAATACTTAGAGTAGCATTGTAAACAATAGCACAGCACGTCACAGGCTGTCATTGTACAGAAATGACCCAATGGGAATTTAAAAGCAACTTAGGCTAGGCGGAATATCGCTATTTACTGATGTTTTGTTGTTAAACTGAATATACATTATCGATGCTGTAAAAAGCTCCCTTCTGAAACTGAAAATAGTCACATTTATTTTTCACCAGGAGATTTCAGTAGTTGAACAACATGTCTGTGCATAGAACCTATTCATAGCACAACAAATCAGCTGTGTGTGACTAATATAGTTTTAAAACAAAACATTACCTCTCTAACAGAAATACTTCAGCCATGTTGTGGTGTAATCCTTCCTCCAGCATGACAAAGTAACTCCAATACTGATTCAGGAGTTTAAAAAGATTCAATTCAGCATTTGATTTTGCCGCGACTGTGACAGTCGCGTGTCGTGAATGCGCGGCGCTCATCTAGGCATGCACATGCGGTGCTCATGCAGGCGTGCACACGCTAATGTCGGACATGTATGAACAGAGATGCGCAAAAGCCCAAATCTGCATTTGTTGACAGACAGTTTGAGCTACTTATCGGAATTATGGGAAATGTCAGCCCAACAGTATTTAATTGGATGAACATTTTTTAGTTTTATGCATTTTATATAAAAATACATATAAACATATTAGATAATTTACTGTACACATTACTACTGAACTGTGAAGAGACTTTCAACCAGCACAACAAAAAAATGTTTCTGAAGACAATCACATACTGCACCTTTAAGTATTTCCTCCCTTGAAGACAAAACTCTTAAAATGTATCTTATCCTGTATGTATATATCCTGTATGTAGGTATATTATGTTTAACTCAGTTTACAGGTGACTTAAGTTAGTGTCTCTCAACCACGTTCCTTGAGGACCACCACCTCTGCATATTTTCTGTTGCTGCGCCTGAAATCGCTTACTACTCAGTATAGGTACTGCATTTAAATTTACTACATTTAAATTTACTATATGACCGTTAGAAAGTGTGCTCTATACAGTATGAATGCGAGTAGTATGAATGGAACTCGGATATTTTACATCTACCATTTTGTCATGATCACATTGCCAATGTCAGTTGCATCGCTTTACTCCTATTCATGAATTCTCTCGTGGCGTATCATAGAATAGCATATCATCCATCTGATGCGCACTTCAGAATCTCCCTGGAAGTAGTAGGTCATCCGAGTACTCCTGGCAAACAGATTTTCGAATTTTGACTAAATCTACTTTAGATTAAATTGACTTAAATATATTTGGTTTTATTTTTATTGTAATGTAATTTAAATATTGATAACATTTATTATACAAAGTATTCAAACTTTAAATTAAATAAAACAGTTTTATTAAATGATGGAATATAGCTTTTCTGCAACGTCCATCTTGTTTAATCATGTTGTGGTGGTAGAGTCTATACACTAATCCTGTCTTGTCTTGTATGTTGTTCTGTTCTTGTCATCGTCTTTTGTATGAGTACCATCTTGGCCACACTCAGGATGCAAGCTCTTGTCCTGGTGTTTGTATTTGTTCTGCTGCAGCATGCCGTTTCATTCTCAGAGTCTCAGTCTAGTCGGTTTCAGTTGGTGCTGAGATGAAACATGCGTGTTGCATGTGTGAATGCATGGTAAGTGTTTTATTTATCATGTACTTGTATTTTGTGTTCTGTCTACTGTAGATTAGATACTGTTCAAATGTGCATGTGCACGTCCCGCATCACACACATCACAAGATTAATTCTGATTAAGTATTTATCAAAAAAACTTCACTCAAATACATTCTCGTCTCATTTTTATTATTCAACGAAAATGTCAGTCTATTTGTATTATAGTTAAAATCATCATCAATAATTTTTATTTAGTTTTTATCTAGTTTTCATTGGTAGAAACTTGTCACAAAAATTATGACAAAAAATTTTTCATCAACAAAATTAACACAGATATGAATTCAAACATACTCTTTTTAGCATACTATATAGTACATATACAAGTATGCCATTTTAAACACAGCCCGTGTCTCCTTAACATTAACACACCTGATTCAGATTATCAGCTCATTAACAGAGACTGAAAGACCTGTAAAGGGTGTGACAGACAAAGGAGACATCCAAAACATGCAGTGCTGGTGGTCCCCCCGTAACATGGTTCAGAAACACTGACCTAAATAAACTGTGAAATTAACTTAAGTTGATGCAAGTTGATGAGCAAGAATGTAATAAAATAGCGATGAAAAACAGCCGAACCATAACAACAACCTTGAAACTAAGAAAAACACAACAACATTGTCTAAAATTAACTTTTTAAATTCCATGATATTCCAGAAATTCTATGTCCTGCGGGAACCTTGTATAATATATTTTAAACTAGAATTTCAGCCAAGAATAGCCTTTAATCAAGCTATCAAAGGATGTTTGGTCATCATTTAAGCAGTGAAGAGAGAAAGCTGAGTTTTGTTGTTGGTCCTGAAAACCTGAGTTGCATTAAAGAGCCCATATTATACATGAAATAGGGTCATATCTTGGTTGTAAGGGTCTCCAACAACAGTCTAATATGCATGCAAGGTCAAAAAACACTTTCATGGTCTTATAATCTGCATTTATTTTTACCTAATTATCCCAGCGACTCCTGTATGAATCGTTCAGTGATTCATTTGTTCCCAAACCCCTCCTTAGCGCGAAGCTAATCTGCGCTGATTGGACCGATGACAATCTGTCGCGATTGGTCGACTGCCTTCAGTCAGAGAGTGAAATGGCCAATAGCTAATCAGCAATTTAAAAAGTAATCACAGTTCATACACGCTAGATAGTGTAGGCGTGGATTTTAGCTGCCACACACACACAAACACCTCCGGACGAGAACGCTCCCGCTTCCGCCCGCACCCGCCAGGTTTTAGCCTTAGAACCCGCCCCGTATTCTGCCCGCCGCGCCCGATCCCGCTAAAGAGCGGGGGAGAACAAAACCGAAAATCTGTATAAACACACACACAGCACCAAGCATAAAGCTCTCGCTCGCTCGCTCGCTCGCTCGCTCGCTCTCTCTCTCTCTCTCTCTCTCTCTCATACGCGCGCGTGCGCACTAACACACAAGCACCAAGCAGACACATCTTTCTCTTTCTCAGGCAGCCCGCTCCCGTCCCAAATCAAACCCGTTACCGACCGCTCCGGCGATTTATTCGGAAATTTATTCCCGCGCCGCAGAAATCTGGCGCGGGGACAGCCGCGGGTATGCACACCTCTAACGTTACCACGGAGCTCCATAAACAAAGCAGCACGCGTCGCGTTTTTAACGTGACTTTGCACGCGATAAGAGAATATAGCCAGTTAACCTGATACAGTACACTCGGTTACAAGTAACAAATCACAACTAAATACATTTGCAAGCTAGAGTCAACGAGGCAACAACTTTAACCGCACGTACTTACACTTGAGAAATGGAAGAAACCCATCCTGACGTCCATCAGTTACTCTTTACTGATCCTTCCTTTAACAAACTCAGATGAAGTATTCTTTGTAGCATGTAGCTTCCAGAAGTTTCCAGTAGTTTCCAACTGCTTGGCTATAATGCTGAGGTTTCATCTTTGGGTAGAGACTCAATATATCCATCTGCAATGTGACTTCAATCGACCGGCATGTTTGTGTGCGTGTGTTTGTGGGTGTGTGTGTGTGTGTGTCTGGGTTACTGCGTCAGAGGGTGGGGCCTCAGGTTTGAAATCTCCCGGGTTTGCGCGTGCACGTGAAAAACTTTGTTTCGTTCGTACGTCATGGCGAAACACCTAATGAGTCGGTATCAAGGCGACTCGTTTGAAGCACTATGAATCGACTCTTTTATAGATGAATCAACAGTTTTAAACACTGTATTCTTACAGATTTAAGCCTTAGCTGGATACTTCACTTCACTTAGAGCTGTGTTACACACTACATGGAGGGGAATTTTCAAAAACCCATAATATGGGCTCTTTAATCTCTGTTAATGAGTCATTTAAAGTTTGAAGCACTTGAACACAGTTTGCTGACTCACTGCAAAACAGCATCATCGTTTGTTGTGTGTGAACTATTAAAAAGTGCCTGTGGGAACAAGAAAGCACCTAGCTTTCATGTGAAATTAATAATAAAAACAAATAAAAGGGAGGATGGGAATTATTGGACTGGATGGGGTGGGAAGGAGGGAAGTCAAACTCTCCAAAAGCACAACCAGATGAAGCAATAGAAGCAAGAGAGTTCTCGAAATCAAAAACCAAGACCCAGAAATGGGTTCCTCCTCCAATCGAAAATCAACTTTCAGTGCCCTTTACCATTAAAAGTCAGTGAAATAAAAAAAAAAGACAGATGTGGGGAACTGTATTCAATTAGAAAAACCAGACACAGCTCAATGACCTCGGAACATTAGCAGCGTCGTCAGGAGCTTTCGTACGGCGCTTTAATGGGTACTCACCTCTGAGAGTAAGAAATCTGTCTGAGTGCTTTTGTCAGCTTTTTGGCATGAAGATCTCTGGGTGGCACGGGTGGATTCCTGTTAAAAAAAAAAAAAAAGTATCAGAAAAGTGTGCGATAACAATTAAACAAAGTTAGGACTTAAAACATTTCCATGGAATACTTGATTTAGGTCAATCCATTAGCATTCTGCACTCACATAATCATAAACTGAAAGCTTAACTACAAAGCATTTAGAGTGACAACTAAAAATACAGTGATTTAATTTCAAATTAAGTCATTTAAATAAAAAGCAAAATAATAGAGTTGCTAAAAAATAATAGAGTGATTGTGAGTAATTTTTTTTAGATTCTGTTAATTCAATTCACTTAAAAAAGTTTTTAATTTTACCTCTGAATTACATTAAAGGTTCTTTTTTTAAAAAAATGTTAACAATGTTAAAATAATTTGTGTGTGTTGAGTATCATTTAAGACAATGTTAGCACCTGTCTGCTTTAAATGTGAAGAAAACTGGATAATTTTGAGTTTTTGTCAGCTAATTTCATGTTTCGAATTGAAAATAATTTTTGGGGCGGGATCAAAATCAGTGAAGTAGAACCCAGCTGCTAGTGGAATGACGATACATCGTTTCTCATTATTGTTCATAGCGAAGTTTTCTTATCCTATGAGAATTATTCATGAGAGCACTTTCTTTCCGAAGGCAAGACAGACCTGCCAAGCTGTGAAACTCAATGACTGGGTGAGACCGCGTTTGCTCACGACACAGGTCCTAGGTGTTTGTTTCCATGATCCGTGGTATTTGTTGCATGTTTTTCCCCACAATGCTGTCAGGGCCAATATAGCAAAGCTTGGTTTGCAGCGAGCATTTTTATCGGGAGAGCTGTACGAGAATTAGACAATAGCGGACTTTGCCTTTTATCAGTTGACTTTGTTACCATTCAGACACATTGCCTTTATCCAAGCTGCTGTATTCACCATATTCTTAAAATCCTCCAGATTCCCTGCAGGACTAATGGTTGAAATAGATAAGGCAAGAGACCTGTTGCACTGCTATCCACTGTGTTTGCATACAGACCCGGGGATTCAGGAGGAGAGAAGTCCTCCTCATTTATAGTGTTTATATAAACATGATTATATTTATAATGATATAACAAATTGTGGTTATGTGTATATTAAATTACAAGTAACATATGTAGCAGGGCAATAAATTAATGACTATTTATTTCTTTGCATTTTAACTTTGTAAACTATAAAATCATGGGTGTCCTCATGGTTTGTGTCTCATTTTGTGAGCCAACTGACAACTTGACACATGACAACTTGTTCGCTCCCCTCTTCTTCCTCTGCTCTGCCGGCCATACCCACTCCTCCCTCTGCTCGCAGCGCTCCACGTCCATCTTTAAGCATTTTTTGAAAAATTTCTGAGGTAGACTTAACCCGAAAGAAAGGTTTCAAGACCCTATGACAGAATTTCTAAAATCAAAATGACCAAAATAAAAAAAAAATATTTTAAACAATTTACCCTTTTAAGTTTTTCATTCATTCATTCATTTTCATGTCGGCTTAGTCCCTTTATTAATCTGGGGTCACCACAGCGGAATGAACCGCCAACTTATCCAGCAAGTTTTTACGCAGCAGATGACCTTCCAGCCGCAACCCATCTCTGGGGAAACATCAACACACATTCACACACACTACGGACAATTTAGCCTACCCAATTCACCTGTACCGCATGTCTTTGGACTGTGGGGAAACCGGAGCACCCGGAGGAAACCCACGCGAAGGCAGGGAGAACATGCAAACTCCACACAGAAACGCCAACTGAGCCGAGGTTCGAACCAGCGACCCAACGACCTTCTTGCTGTGAGGCGGCAGCACTACCTACTGCGCCACTAAAGTGTGAATATTTAGTTTGATTAATAATTTATTATTTTTAATAATAATTTAATTATTTTAAACTATTTTATTTTAACAAATATTTAAAATATACAGTTGAAGTCGAATTATTAGCCCCCAGAATTATTAGCCCCCGTTTATTTTCCCCCAATTTCTTTTTAACAGAGATTTCTAATAACTGATTTATTTTATCTGTCATGATGACAGTAAATAATATGACTAGATATTTTTCAAGACATTTTATACAGCTAAAAAGTGACATTTAAAGGCTTAATTGGGTAAACAAGGTTAGCTAAGCAGGTTACAGTACTTAGGCAAGTTATTGTATAACGTTATTGTATAATATTGTATAATTTTAAATGTTACTTTTATTCTAACATAAAATTGTTCATTTGATATAGATTAACATTTTAATGATATTTTGTGCCCATTTATTCTTTTAACTCATTGTAAAGTAGCTATTTAATAAGAGGAACACTACAGTCACTACGTTCTTATCTCTTCCATTTTAATTTAAAAAAATGGCTCATAAGTCTATGATAATGACACTCCGACTGTATGCCCATATTGGTTATATCATCAGAAATATGTTGAGAGTCTTGACTTGGAATATCAAACAGCTTTAATCCCCCTCCTCTCAAATATGCCAGAACGGCAGACTAATAAAATAAGAAATATGGTGCAGCAAAATTTAGGGCAGCCATACTTCATTAATGACATTCAATAAAGACAGTAAAAATTGACAAAGACGAGCCTAGCCAGCAGGCTGCCAGTTTCACCAGTGAGTATTATTTTACGAGCTTTTGCACTGATTTATTAGGCCATTGTGACCGCAGGTTCTTTTCCCACTAAAAATAGAGCGGAGGTCTCTTGTGCGGCACAATCTGTAAAGTGATGATGTCATTGACCACCAATTCTGTTGAGTCCAGTGTCGACAGCTGGATGCCACATTATGCATATGTTTACATAGGTTTAGCACACATATGCTTTACTGAAGATCACATTGAAAAACACTGCAGTTCTTGATACGAAACCCACATGACTGGAGTAAAGAAACTGCAGCGAGCCCTGTGGTATTTACCAACACACCATTTTCTCAGAGAAAAAGACTGTGACCTTCAGAGACGTACTTCACACTATTGGCAGCACATTTTCTGAATTCAGTGCTCGAAGAAAAGACTGATAAGGACAACATCAATTCAAGCCTCTGCAGACTGAGTGAGATTCAAACTAGAAATCTTTTTATTGAACATCTAGACAGGGATCAGTAAGTATGGAGAGCGTTTAAACTAGTAATGCAGTGCTGCAGCCAACAGAATAAAGGCGCATTCACTTCACACAATCTCACGCTGAGATTTGCAGCAAAGCGACCTGGAGTCATTAGTTTTCAATGAGAGCTGCCGATTTGCAGAGATGCGGTGACTACAAATGGGGATCACAAAAAGTAAAAATTGGGTTCCAGGAGAGTAGTGGGACCTTAATTTATTATTGTTGATACAGTTATTGTATTGTATTGTATTGTATTGTATTGTATGTGAACTTAAACCACAAAGCAGAAAACTGAATAAATAAGATTTTCATTGATGGTATATATGCAGCTCTGCACAAAAAGTTTGGCCAAAGGAAAAATGGTTGTACCCCACTGAGCCTGGTTTTTTTCCTTTACTTTCGTCAACTGGTGAAGTTTTGTTCCTTGCCACTGTTGCCACTGGCTTGCTTGATTTGGGATTGTAGAGCTGACCATTGATGGATTTGCTCCAGTGTTTGATCTTTCAGCAGTGAAATTTAAACCACACTGAAATGAACTTAACTGAACATCATCTCTTAAAACTGGACACTCTACATTGTAAAAGTGCTATAGAAATAATGAATTGAATAGGTATATTGCAATAAATAAAATATTTAGCCAAGACACAACAATTTGATAATTTGGAATCTGAGGGCGCAAAACAATATTAATACTGAAAAATCCATCTTTAAATTTGGCATATTACTATTTAAATAGTGAGCTTTGATATAGTCACAGAAGGAAAAAAAAAACATTTCTATTTGTCTTTTCTACTGTTTTTTTTTTTTAACAAAAAAATATTCCAATTAATTTCAGTACTTTAGCTGCAACTACTCAAAAATGAGAAATGCTGTTTTGTGAAAATATTGTTTGTAATGTAATTAATGTTGATTTTAAGGTGTCTAAAAAGACTTAAAAAAACACTTCAGTTTCCTCCAAAAACCCATCCTTTTGTATATATTTTGTAATCGTTTGCATATTATCTCTCTTTAAACCCCTTTTTTTAAAAGTCTTTCCAGCTCTGTTCTGATTGGTCAGGTGACAATAGCTGTTGTATCTGGTCATCTGTCTACAGTGATTATATAAAACCAAAAGAAGGGCTGAACAATAATACCAATAAAAACAATAATACCACTGATAGCTAATAGTAGCGCATTTTCCCTCAATAAAACAATAAGGTGATAATGTTTTCGCTTCAAAGTAGAACTAAACGGCTCAGCTCTTTAGCGCCTCAAGGACCGTTTATCTATTCAGCACATTTGCTTTCATGAAGATACTGTAGGTCTTGAATCGATCACACAACCAGCTCTAACGAGAAGCGCTTGAATTTAACGAAGAACACAAATATCTCAGTGATTTAGTTTTAAGTCAATTGAAGGAGCACCGACATTTCCAGTGACAAGGCTATTACATGTTTTTACTGTCGTGCCAATAATTGCACCATAGTATTGTAGCAGGATTGGGTGATACATACAGTAGTTCACTTTGAAGTGGATCATTACGTTTCGTCATACAGTAGTTGTTCCAAAACTATTAAACGCCATTCATTCTTGTCCTAGGACATATTTAAAAAACATTTTTCATACACTTTGAATGTTGACTACTGTATAAGCATCCTTTCTTTTTTTTCTTTTTTTTTTTTTTTTACAAAATTCGTTGTTTTAAGTTACATCCACATCTTTTGTGTCCTCAAAGTCAATGAACAAAAATAAAGATCTCTGACTTTAAATGTTGTAAACATTTTTTGAATTCTTTAATTCCAGCTAAAGAACTTTTTCCAGAAGAAAAAAATATTACAGGAAATACTGTGAAAAGATAATTATTTCATTAAAAATCCATATTAAAAATGATATAAAAATATATATAATACAATATAAAAATGTATATTATACTGTAATTAGGGCTGTCAAAATAAGCGCGTTAACGCATGTGATTAATTTTAAATATTTAACGCGTTAAAAAATAACCGTTTTTTTTAATTTCCTGTTTAGGGCCAGCGCGAGCATAGAGGCGACCTATAGGCGGCCGCCTTGTCAGCAGAACAGTGAGCGAACCCCCCAGTCTTCACTTTCATCAGCTACACCAACCCTCTCCCTCATGGTCCTCGCTTTCATCAGCAAAAATGTCACTTTCTTTTTCACTTTATGGGTTGAGGGCAGCATAATTGCCTTTTGTCTATAGCGCCAGTTCAGCTTGCTCCGGCCCAGCATGTGTTTAACATACAAAGAAATTTGGATAAGACCAAGGACGCACTTTTAGAAGGGAAGTTTCAGCATAAAACAACTAATGTCGCATCACCAGGCTATCCTGCGTTTCCTCCAGAGTTTTATGTAGTTTCGGGTGTTTTATTTTTAATCTTTAGACTTTAACTGCAGTTCAGCAGTTTACTCTCATTCAACATATTTTCATTCAGGATGTTTTAATGGAATTTGATACCGCATTGCGGACGAAAAAAAAAACCTCCGCATTTCGGGACTCACGTGTTACTTTAAGGTAATCAAAAATCGCTGCTTACATGGTAGACTCTTAATCAGTATTATCTTAATCATAAAAGCTGAGTATTGGTGTCCATGTAAATGTACTCTGTGAAAATAGCAGATGAAATCGCAAGCTGTCATAGACAGACCATTTCTCTCCCTTTAAGCTGCTTCCATGAGCCCTAATATTTCATAAGTTTCATGTTGCTATGTCAGAATCCATTCTTGTAAAATACAGCCATACATTAGAGCGCGGAGTTTAAGCAAATTTGATGAACGCGATCATGCGTGTTGATGAATCTGAAGTGATCCCTCCCTCACTCACCGGGTCCGCTGTACTGCGCAGTGTGTGTGTGTGTGTGTGTGTGTGTGTGTGTTTGTGTGTGTGTGTGTGTGTGTGTGGTGCAGAATCCAACATGGAAATCATTTTTGTTTGTTATTGGCATTGATTGTTTTGAAATTCAAATGGGATTTAATGCCTGTACTTTTATTTCTGTAATAAATATGGCGTTTCGTGATTAATCATGATTAATTAAGATTAATTACGTTTCGTGATAAATCATGATTAATCACAAAAAAGTGAGATTAATTAGGTTCATTTTTTAATTATTTGACAGCCCTAATTATAATATAAACATTTGAAATAAAAATTAGTACAGTAGTAATAGAAAATTTGCCTTCAACTGTATATGTGTGTATGTTTATACAACAGTTCTGTCTGGTTCTTGAATCTGATTGGCTGATAGCTGTGTGATATTCTGCAAATAACGCACTCATAAAGCCTCTTTACCCTTCATCCTTGTGTATTACTCCGCCTACATACAGCAACTAACAGAGGACACTCTACAGTTTGACAAATAATGCTGCTGGATAACATAATGTACTTTTGAGGCTTTTTAGGTGAGAATGTAGTTGTTTAAATTACAACTATGCTTTTTATTTATAAGGATAGTGCCTATTTTTATTTATCATTTCTAAGAGACAACGTGTCGGTGGCTATTAGCCTGTCAATGAGCAGACCAAATACAGACTCTTAATAACTCTTAATAAGCCCTTAGAGGAGGAAAAGCCCAACACAATTTTAAAATACAGCTGATCAAGTCATTATTAAACAGGTAAGTGACTTTCTAAGTAGATCCCAATCTTTTGTATGTTGTAGTACGCTATTTATACTATAGTAATTGTAGTGTTATGATTGTGAGATGGGCCATATTAGGAATGTATGTATTTTGTGTTGGTCACTTTGTGAATAACCATCCATAATCCACACTATGTGTCAGTAGACTAAATGTGTTCAGTTGGATGTTTTTCTGTGGACTCTTACCTTTCGAAATTAACTCTGATGCACAGCAATGAATGCTTGTGTGTCTTGTTATTACGATGATATGTACTCCATATCTAATAAGTGTTTTATTTACCACTTACACAATTATAGCAAATACAATTTATACATTTTATAAGCTTCCCATTGAAAAACAACTAGCTGTAATGGCTGCTTGAGTGTTGCAGATTTAGACTGATGTACATTTTGTCAAGATTACTCATGTTCTTTTTTATGTAATTATTTGTAAACACTGAAAAGTGCAAAAACAGCATCCCAGTGCATCCGCGTCGTGGTGCTGGCTAATTGACTTTCTTAAAGTTACTTTTTGGTTGGCCATCTGTTTGTTTCTATTAAAGTCTCCTGTTTTGGCTACTGCAGACTAGTTCAGTAAACAGAAAGAAAAAAGAAATGCCTGCATGTGTTTAGCATTTTTCCTATCACAAACACAACAGTAATCTGGTAGTGATTGCGTTGCTTTGGCTTTTTCGGGGTTAATTATTGTCATCACCTGATTGCAACAGAGAAATACTAGGAAATCGCTGTAGACTGTTATTTCATGCCGTTCAAACTTATAATCTTAAAATGTTAGCAAAATCATCTGTTTTGTCATCATTTTAGATATTACACTAGAGAATGGTTTAAATTTTAGCTCTAAAGTGACGTTTGTGAAGTAGCAACAATTTTTGCTGTTCTGACGTCAGCTGCAGATCTAAATGAATGAGACTCTCCCTGTTTGATTTTTTTATATTTATATACATGTATGCCATTGAACTGTTGTATAAATGCAATATCACACTTGTAGCAGTGGGATGTGGCTTTATATCATCACTGGTGGGACGCTAATGCAATGCACGCCTCCCACCAGTGCCGATATGTAGCCACATTGCACTGCTACAAGTGTGAAATGGCTCATATATAATGTATACACACATTTGTCCTGCTGCTTATACTGTATATACTCTGCATTAACACGTTGGTCAGTTCATGTGTGCTGCACTTTTTAGACCTTTTTAAAGCAGTTGATTAATAAAAGAATGAAGGAGGAAAAAAAAAACCTTTTTGGCCACATCACCCAGCACTATAACTAAATGCTAAGCAAGACATAAAATCATGTCATGGACTGTTACAAACATTATGTGCGCTTTGTTTGTCCTTTTGCTTTTACAGCCTCTTTACTGCCCTCTGTTGTTTTTATTCATCCTCCCCCCTCCTCCATTCCTATCACGCCATCCCATTCCTTATTTCAAGACCACTAGTCTATAAATCTGAGATGGACCTGTCATATTTCCCCTTCACTCGTCTCTGCCCTCGAAGCCGGGACCAGGAACGTTATGCGTCTCACAGTGCATGTAAAGCATGCGACAAACTGTTTACTGCACCTTAAGTGAGTCTATCAAACATCGTCCCAGTTCAAAAAAAAAACTGCAGCGTAGCATCGCTATAACTTCCTAATGCGAGTCTTGGGAAAAGGACGGGAAAACCAGCGCAAACTGTCAAGCCGGTGCATGAAATTAGGCTTTCCCAATGACAGTAGAGCGATCATGAGACTTCACCAAGGTGCTTATGAAACTTGCAGGTTATGAAACGGTACAATTTCTCACCAACTCTGCCTGAAGTTGTGCAATAAGCTCATCTCTCTCCTTCAGCTTCTGGTGCAGAAACTGATTCTCCTCTCTCCCAGGATCCTGCACACAAAGCACACACAAACACGTTATTTAAAAAAAAAAAAAGGGAAAAAAAGCCAGTCTGCGTTATTCAAGCCATCGCCCCCAGTTGGAATCTGCAGTCTTGTGTGGGGGCGTAAAATAAAAACTACCGCGCTGGAGAGGTGGAGGTGTGCTTTCTGTGGTTTTCGCTCTCCTCCATAAACTTCACCTGAACTAGCAGGCACTTTCCCATGACCTTGTGCTGTCAGCATCCATTATGTGAGGCTGGGGGAGGGACGGGAAGCTTCAAGGGCGGCAGAGGAGGACCAAGAGGCCCAGGAGCACAACATGGCCTCCATGAACGACCGGAAAGATCCACCGCCCTCCCTAGTCCCCACCCAAAAAAAAATGACATCTATTCGGCAAAGATTTAACAGCGCTGACATGAAGAAGCTGGACACAATGTGCACGAGTCAGGAGCCCTTCATGAGAGATCAGGGAAGGGGATTATGAGCTTCAATGTCACGTACTTGGAGACATGGTTGTTCAAAGCTCTTTGGCTTTGGCTTGAATGCGCTCCTTTTTGTTGACATTACATAAACATCTCAAGGGAGCTGTTGTCAATCTTTGATGCTCCTCTGTAAAGGAAGCTCATTTCTGCCTGCAGATGATGATGATGACATACACGGCGCCTAACAAGGATTGTTCGCTTTGTACCTACAACGCTCTTTTTGTCTTATGAAATGCTACGACCCCATCAGGAAGGCTCAAGTATCTCTTCACGGCAACCAAAGCGGAATGTTAATGTGCTCCTTTGAACTCAAATTAAAGTGGATTCTATTTAGCTTTGTAATAATGGGCATTAATTATCATTAACATGTTTGCAATATCATTAAAATGGGAATCATGGCAACGTGTCACTTTTAAACTCAAAATAATCAGCACTGTGGCTGAAAATTAAACTCAAGTACACGACCATTCAGCTGGTTAGCTCTATAATTTTTTTGTTTTAATGAGCCTCATATTTATTTATTTTTAATTATACTTAAATATTGCCTTCAAAAATAAGAACGAGACTGGTGAGATAATGAGATTAAGATGACATTTAGAAACACACATAATGCAGTGTAAATCAGCACTATTATCAATATTATAAACATTTTATTTATATTTATATTTTATAAAAATTATATTTTAATATTTTTAAACTTAGCAACTTTATATTTAGCGGATATAAAAGATGCACAAAAAAAAAAGTTTTGGTCACACTTTATTTTGATGGTCCGTTTGTTGAATTTAAGCTACATTGCATCATGTCAACTAATTCTCATTAGATTATAAGTACACTGTTAGTGGTACTTAGTGGTACTTGCTATTAAGGTTATTGTTAGTTGACATGTACTTGCAAAGTTTCTTATAGTCAGTTAAATGTCTGTTGAAGGAGCAGAATCAAAAGATATTAAGCAGACATTCTACTAACACTCAAATGGGCCAAACCAGAAAGTGTTACCAAAGTTTTAATTGTAATGTTTGTGCCACATTACTGCACTTATTTACTTTTCAACTTAAAAATAAAAAATAAAAAATTAAACCTGTTAAAAATATATTTAGTTAAACTTATTTGGATCTATAACTTCTTTGCTCAAAAACTAGACTCAACTTACAAACTGTATTTATTTCTAACAAAATAAATGAAAATGTCAACATCATTCTTCAACTTTTATAAATCAATTTTACCAGCAGAAATTTCTACTTTCATAATGTAAAATATTTTTTAATACTGTAAAGCAGAAATGCCAAAAAGCAGGGCCTGCTGGCCAAAGTTGGCTGATTGTGACCGTTGATTTGGCCCACCATCGCATCTGAGAAGAGAGTTACAAAAAGCAAACTGAAATGAAATGTTTCTATAAAATGTTGTAAATAAATGCAATTTTTTTAAATGTGAACAATGTCACTTGGCAGACAAAGGACTATGCAGAAGACATTGGTGAGCAAATCAAGTCAAAAACTAATGTAACTTCATTCTGTTATATATTTATATTTTTGTTTTTCTTGTAATAAGTTCATTATAAAATTATATATATATATATATAATATATATAATATATAATATATATATATATATTATATATATAGCATATACATATATATAACATATACATATACATATACATATATATATATATATATATATGTATATGTATATGTATATGCTGTATTAGTTAATGTAAAGCAATGTTTTCAAGTTTTTAAAATATATTTTTTTTTAAAATATTATTCAAAAAATTTGAATATTACCCATGGTAACTATATTTACTTTCGACCCACTAGCCTCAATCAAGGTTGATTTTTGGCCCTTAATAAGAAAAAGTTTGGGCACCTCTGCTGTAAAGATTTATCCAAAACATTTGTATTGCTTGAATCTCTGTAAAAAGAAAATGATCTGAGAAAAAAACAATCTCAAGTATTTCAAGGGTCTTCCATTAAAAATACATCAACAAAACACATCGAGGTATAAGACTGCATCTTGATTCCCCTAGTCTTCAAAGAATCATCTATTTGCTGCATCTGCAGACCTTTTACATTCTGAGTCAGTCTATTATGAGATTTAGGTGAAGTTTCAAACCTTTCTTTCTTCCAACAGAACATAATCATTGAAGCCTTTTACCATTCAATCTTTGTTATTTTGCCCATTCTTTTTTCGACTGATTCGCCAGATTTTAAATGTATCTTTTTTTCTTTGAAACTCTGCCTAAAGGCCAGCAGCATCTGAGCAGAATCTTGTCTTGACTGCTACTACAGAAGCTGGTGTTTGGTGAATGCTGTTTAATGAAGCACCCAGCCGAGCACTAGAGAGGGGTTTGTTTCCCAAACTAGAGACTCTGATGTACTTGTCCTCTTGTTGTTCACTTCTATCTCTGTCCTGGTTACATACAGTCAGCTTTCTATTGTGCTGTTTTCAGTGCATGAAACAGCATTCGCTTCTTAAATCAACGAGTTCCTAGAAATGTTTCTTTTTTTTCCTTTTTCTTTTGTTGTTGAGGCATTTAAAACTAACATTTGACTTACAAGTGTACACTTATGTGCTGAAAACAACTGTGCTGCTTAACCTGTTAGATATTAGACCTATTAGAACCATGTATCTTTTAACACAGAGGAGATGCTTACGGTCTATGGAAATGATGGGAAACAGCAGATTTTAAAATTCCATTGAAATTTGCCTATATTTAGCATCCAAGTGAACTGATCTGGTCATGTGACAAGGACACATTTTATCACACAATCTTTTTTTTTTAATTTCCAATTAAAAGTTTGTTATCTTGCCCAAAGACTTAAAAGAAATAAGAAAAGAGAGTGTGGGAATAAACAGGTACAATTTTTGTGGAATCTGCACTGTAAAAACTATATGACAAAAACATCATGACAGTAAATGTTTATACACTCACTATTTTATTAGGTACACCTTACTAGTACCGGGTTAGACCCACTTTTGCCTTCAGAACTGCCTCAATCTTTGTGGAATAGATTCAACAAGCTACTGGAAATATTGCTCAGAGATTTTGGTACTAATGGGCACAAAGTGTGCCAAGAAAATATCCCCCACACCATTACACCACCACTACCAGTCTAAACCATTGATGGAAGGCAGGCTTAATCCATACTTTCATGTTGCTGACGCCAAATTCTGCCCCTAGCATCCAAATGTCGCAGCAGAAATCGACCAGGCAACGTTTTTTCAATCTTCTATTGTCCAATTTTGATGAGCCTTTGCAAATTGTAGCCTCAGTTTTCTGTTCTTAGCTGACAGGAGTGGCACCCAGTGTGGTCTTCTGCTGCTGTAGCCCATCCACCTCAAGGTTGGACAAGTTGTGTGTTCAGAGATGCTCTTTTACATACCTTGGTTGTAACGAGTGCTTTTTTGAGTTACTTTCTATCAGTTCCAACCAGTCTGGCCATTCTCCTCTAACCTCTGACATCAACAAAGCACTTGCACCCACAGAACTGCCACTCACTAGATATTTTCTCTTTTTCTGATCATTCTCTGTAAACCCTAAAGATATTTCAAGAGTTCACACTTAGCTGATGATTGATTATAGAGCTTGTTTGGCATGCTGTCCCGGGAGAGAGCCCTGAGCTCATAAAATTCCCGAGGCTGGGGCTCCCTCCTGTTTGCAAGGCGAGAGGGGAGTTTGAGTTCAGGTAGATCTTGAGAACTCCCCTGCTGTAGTAGCTAATAAACAGATGATTGCTCTTAATAGATAACCATTTACTAGGTGCATGTCTATGGTTTAGATTTAGATTAGTCCATTAACTTAAGTTGCATGTTTTTGGATGGTGGGAGGAAACCAGGGAACACGGGTAGAACCCACGTGAGCATGGAGAGAATGTGTAAACTCCGCACAGAAATGTTGGCTGGCTTGGTAAGGATTAGAACCAGTGACGTTGTTGCTATGAGGCAACAGTGCTAAACACTGGGCCATCATGCCACCCATCTAGGAAAGGAGGAGGAGTTGGGGTGGAAGAGGGGATTCTTCAAAACAAAGATTGCTATTATATGGTACTTAGGGTATTTATAGTGGATCTGAATAATGCTAGACGAGCTGCAAACAATCATAAGCACGTGATCCTCTTGAAATTAGTTTATAAATAAACTTCACATTTCCCAGAGATAGGTTGCAGCTGGAAGGCCATCCACTGCGTAAAAACCTGCTGGATAAGTTGGCGGTTCATTCCGCTGTGGCGACCCCGGATTAATAAAGGGACTAAACCGACAAGAAAATGAATGAATGAATAAACTTAACAAAGAACAGAATTTAATTAAAAATCATCCTGTTCATTTCTAAATTTATATATTTTCAAACTCAATCAAGTTAATGCAATCCTTGCCGAATAAATGTATTGTTTTCTTTCAAGTAAATCTTACAGTCTTAAAACAACATTTAGTGCTCATAAAATAATTATTTAAAAATTAATTATTTATAACAACAATTAAAAAAAAAACAAAAAAGGTCAAGTCCTGAGTGATGCACGGAGCCAAA